TGTGATTTGTAATTATGCCCCGCTAGGCCGAAGAAACATAAACACAAAGAGCCTTCTCATATGGTCAGTGGCACTAGGTTGAGTAATGCCTATTGAGAGATAAAGAGCTTAGATTTTACCAGGGAAACTAACTGGGTGCTTGACAGCTGAAGACAAGCATGCAAGATGGTCCAAGATGGGACACATGAGGACTATATTAGCCGTGTAGTTTAAATGCTTTGCTGAATATGGAAGTGGGCCAGCTGGGGTAGCCTATATTCGGCCTGACCGGAGCCAACACAAATCCCCCCTGCATTTATGGTAGGGACACTGAAGGTCATGGTTTATGTATGATTGGGGGTTGATATCCTGCCAGGCTTAAGTTGGTAGAGTAAAGTTGTGGTGCTTTCTATTTTGCATATGGCAGGGTCCCAGGTGATATCCTAAGAAGCTACCTCGCCTACCATTTGGGGTTCCCGCATACATTTCTAGGTAACAGAGGAGTAGCTTTGGGGCGCTTGCTAAGGAGGCGAGCGTTAGTATGTTATCCATCGCTTACTACACCACATATGGAACTCAGTATAGAAATAAAGGCTGCAGATTATGTAACATTGCTTTTCCTGCTAAATAGGCTGCTGTTTTGCTTAAATTCAGTAATAGCATATTTTAGACTAAAAAGTTAACCATCAGTGTAATGCCTTATATGATCATGTTCGAGTTGCTATCTCAAGTTATGCTGGTCTAATGCTATGCTGTATAGGTTGTCACATAAGAAAAAAAAAAGAAAAAAAGGGCAAAGGCAAAAGCTCTGTAGGAAGTAATGTAAAATGAAAATAATAACAGGTTAAAGGCTATTATTATACACTTTTCTAGCCTGTAAAATGCAAGTCTTATGTTATGAGGTATGGTGAGAGAGTCCAATTGTAGTGAGGTGTGCGCCTGGTAGGCTCCGTTCGTGTGCAGCTGCTCAGCCGATCCCCTCCGAGTGCCTAGTACAGTCCCTGGGGAGGTTGGCAAGGGAGGGCCCCAAGTAAGGGTTACAATTCAGCATGGTGTCGAGTGTTGCAGCGTGGCGGTGGCAGACGTCTCAGGTATCCCGGGAACCTGCAGCAAATGTCCTCTTCTAGCTGTAGGTTATGTTGCCTATGGATTTCAGCTGCGGCATGAAGAGTTCATAGGTGCTGTTGCCCCCTTGTGGTTGGGTTGTCATCAGACGCTGCAGCCCTGTTGTACAGGTGTATCAGGCAGAAATCCCTCATTAAAGTGTCACCTCCTGCCGGGTCTGCCCGCAAGTTCTTTGAAGGGGGAGCAGTGTGGGCTACTTCTAAACCTCGTTGCCTGTTTTGGTGAGTAGCCTGTAGTGGATTCGGTTTTGGCGCCATCACATATGGCCTCCGCCATCTTGACTGCTGTGTCCTGGTGTCGGAGCAGGGCGGCCTTGCTGCTGCGCCCTGGGTGGTCGGGGCGTGCGGGGGTGAGAACCGGGATCACCCCCCCGGTCCAGAGGGGGGGGACGGGGCCATTTCCCAACGGGTCTGGCCTTGGCTGAGCACCGATGGGCAGGATAGTGGGGCAGCGGCCGTCTGCTCCACTCACCGCCGGAGTAGGCCTCGTTTGCGCCAGTGAGGATTCTTCCTCCAGGGGACTGAAACCAGGCAGGCCAGCCTCACCCTGGGTCCGGTACTCTCCACCCGATGAGGTCCACCGCAGCTGGTCGGCTTTGTATGCCAAAAGTCTGGTTTTCATGCTTATTTTGTTTTAAGTTTCAGGAGCTGGTCTGACATGCGACCATCTTGCTTGGCGGCCTGGCCCCGCCCCCCACTTATCCACATTTTTATTTGCAGTCTCATCTATTTTCTATGTTTATCTCTATTCCTATCTTTATTTTATTTCACCATACCTCTATTTTTTTCAAATTTTCTCTTTTTCATTTCTAAATTATTTCCCTTCTTTCCATTTTCTATACTTACTATCTATATAATTTATATCCAAACCTTTATTTGTATATATTTTCTATATATTTTTACATTCCCTACATTTTTTTACATTTTACCATTTATCTCTCTTAAATAGGAGCCTTATTATCAGTGCCCCTCTCCATATATTTCCACATAAGTTCATTAAAAAAAAAAAAACTAGTCTTAAGGTTTTATTTTTAACTATCACTCATAAATTATAGTCAGGTAAAGGTTTTTCATTAGATGTGTAAAGACAATATATATGCCCCAAATTTGCTCTCTGTTATAGCCTATAAGGCTTCATTCAAATATACAGAGAGATGAGACTGCATCTCCCTTCTCTTCTGAAGTCCGCTCACGTGATGCGGAAGTAAATAAACATACATATGAATAACATGAGTTACGATGCATCAATGAGGGCCGGCAATATCCGCATTCCCCTCCTACACGTCTAAAGACGTGCAGACAATAACCACTCTTCACACATGCGCACACAGCGCATCACGCGATGTGGAAGTTATACCGCGTATCACGTGATGCGGAAATGATACCGAACGTCACGTGACGCATTAAAACATAGGATAACTCTTAAAATAAGCTTTGTTTTTAAACATACAGTTAATCATATAGAAACAAACAGATTATTTATATAAGTTATGTGTGTAAGCTTTCTGTACTCTCTATAAAGATTCTGTCATTGACCCGCCCATATAACATCATTTTGGCCCCAAAGCTCAATAATTTGTATGTAATTAGTCCCCTATATAAACAAAGACATGCCAGGTTGATTATTTAATTTGATTATTCTACTTGATAAAGCTCTGCAAGGCGAAACGCGTTGTAGATTATTTTATATTTTTTGTACTAATAAAAAAAGTTATGGCATTATGATTTTACCAGCCAAAGCGAGGACTAAAGAATCCTAGGTGGGGATTACACATACATACATTCCCATCATTTGAAATTCATTCAATTCGCCTTTTCAAACCCTTTTCAGCTAACATTACTGTTGTCGTCCCCCTGGTTCCCCTCTTGACCACTTTGTGTGTATGGAACATT